TATATACTGTACATATATGTATGTACTGTATATACACATGTGTATACACATGTTTATATGTATTTATATATGTTTAAATGTTAAACTTCTTCCTAAGTCTTTTTCCTTCCCTTGGCTGCCTTAATAAAATACATCTAAGTATAGATAAGCAGTGTGGCTCCAGAGCTTTCTGCAGGCTAATTGGTTTATGGGGCATGACCTTTGACCTGCGCTGTTGAAACGATGCTATAGAAATGCACTCAAATCAGTAATCACTGACAAATTCCTTGGAGCACTTATATGAATAGATACAATACATCTGAAGCACACGAATAGCACACTTACTATACATATGAAGCATGATTAAGCAGCATTCATGTTGTTTCAAGGATGGTGAGATTGTAAACACTTGTGTCATTCTCAAGCTGCATTACCTGATGTTGCAGAAAGGGTGAGAGAGAGAGATGAGGAATTGTGAGTGATGATTAGTGGAGTCAAGTGGCAGCTTTTTTTCCTCTTCCAGTGTCATCCTGTACCTATGATTTCTATCATTTCTGTTGCTGTGCATATTTGTGAGTTAAAAAGTGGCCTTTTAAAGGTTTTCAATTTCGTCGCATTCCCAGAAAACACTCACATGCGTGCGCAGTCAGGTGGCACGGGGAACAATGATTATGATGGTGGTCTCTTAGCATTAGCATGCACATCCCAATTTCACTTCTGAATGAATAGTAATTTGCTCTCATTTGCATGTAAATCACAGAACGGAATGGAACAGCTATAGCTGGAGACCGCACATTTTCTTGACGAGAGAGACTCCGGCAGGCTGCGACTCACCTCTCTTTCGCTAATTGGAAAATAAAAGACTGCGCTGACCTCGGGCGCATCGGCCACAGTGAGCTGCCCTGTCTCAGAGTTGTCATTTTCATTTGTTAAAGCCAGATTATCATACTGCAGCCATTCTGTGCCTCAGTGTGTGACCATGAAGGCTTTCGTTTTTATTCCCGCAGGTCACAAGTGTGTGAGAGAGAGCCGAAGTGTGTGAAGAAAGGGCAGGACAGAGGGGAAAGGTGAAGACAGAACAGAAAGTTTTAGAAAGTGGGATATTAAAGTATAATATGTGTGCGGAGAGAGACAGAAAAATGGGAGGACAGAAAGTGAGACCTTGAGAGAAAGAAAGACGGAAATTGTGAGTGTGTGACGGAAATTGTATCACCTGGAACAGTGAGCAGCAGGAACAAGCATATTTTTTGTCAACCACTTATTCCTGTTGAATCACACTTTAGGTGTGCAGCATTCAGGGGACTCTCTGCTCTGCAGGAAGTTGTGCTAATTGCTATCTGCTAAAAGTGCTAAAGATCAGTGCATTAAGAAAGATTAAAATGTGGCACAAAAGCATGCATTCATGTAAGAATCACCTGCGGGATGACATGCTCAAAATGTGATTGCACAGGGACACATAAAGCAACTGTATGTATGTTTTTACCTTGAAATATCAGTTTCTGATGGTACACTGACTTCTAATAAGGTGAATAGCTTCTGTTTCTTTCCCATGGTCCCCTTCAAATGTCTTACATTTTTATTAAAATAAAAAACAAGCTTTATTTTTAATATTATTTAAAGGGGTCATATGATGTGATTTCAAGTTTTCCTTTCTCTTTGGAGTGTTACAAGCTGTTCGTGAATAGATAAGATCCCTAAAGTTGCAAAGACTAAAGTCTCAAACCCAAAGAGATATTCTATTTAAAAGTTAAGACTCGTCCACGCCCTCCTAAAACGCCTCGTTTAAACGCCCCCATATGTCTACGTCACTGTGTGGGAAGATTTGCATAACGCCGCCCAAATGTTTACGCTAAGAAAGAAGGCGTAACTTTTATTCTCGCTGTAGAATTTTTGCCGCCGCCATGTCGTGAAGATGCTGTGTGTTTCGTTGCGAAAGTGAAAATACTTTGTTTGGTCTTCCAAAAGAGGACACAGCTAGAAATCAGTTAAGTTGCATTTACAACACTGTTCCAGAACAGTTCAAACCAAATATTCATGCTTGTGCAACGCATTTTACGGAGGACTGTTTCCTGAACCTGGGAGAGTATCCTACAATGCGGCTGTTCTGACTCACAGCCCATAAGTATGTTTTCATATTTACAGAATTGGCCTCTGACGATTCAAACGCGAGTTTTGAGCAGTGTAGAGTAGCGCTTGTTGTTTGTCGGTTCTCCGATCACAAATGCAGACATGGTTTTATGTTTACGCGGCACGATATGCAACGCAACGCGTAAAAAGACAGTATAAGTAATTATAATCAGTAATTATGTCCCCACTAGATGCGACAAATGGGTTTTAATGTTTTTGTCTCGTCGCACCGTGACATGGCATCACAGTATGGTAAGGGGCGTAACATACTGTAGATTGTTTTGTCTTCTTGTTTGTTTTCTTAGGATGAGAGGGGCTCTGGGGCGGACACAGATGACACTCCTGCAGTGCTGGCTGTGAAGAAACTGAGGAGCACATTCCCTGATCTTGTGTTGGCCTGTGATGTGTGCCTTTGCCCCTACACCTTTCATGGCCACTGTGGTTAGTTTCAGTACTGGATCTGTTTCCTTGTTTTGTTTTGTTTTTCAATTGAAATGGCCAATATTGTAAGCCATTTCATGTTATGGATCACTACCAAAAATTGATATTAAAATTTCTATTCTACTTTGCTAAAATGCACTAAAATTTCATAATGATATCACAACATTGTAATGCACAGTATGAAAACAGATATTCATTTTGAGATTTATGAGATTTACCATTTGACGTTTAATGTTATGAAAAGTTATTATTTTTAAAGATAAATTTTAATACTTTTGGGCATTAGATGATGGCAAAGGTAGTTTAACTGTAAAAACACGGGAAAATGAGGATGCACAATTTATTATCCAATAGTCACCAATGTCAGTAAGTACATGTCAAAATTTGACTCATACCGATAAATAAAAAATAAATACAATAGTACCAATATATAATATTTTCTTAGTTTATGATCCATCCCACATCAGCTAGTTTGTGCCCTGCCTACCTATCAACTCATTCAATCAGACTGAAAAATATAACACAATAGGATATTTTTGGATAACCTGATGAAAAATGTACTTCCAAACAAACATCTACAGGAGAAAAATATGCCGTGCGCATAAAGCATTTTCCCCTACTATTCTCAAATGTGTTTAAGAAGACATTGTGCTTCTGAGAAACATTTGCAATGCCACAGTGGGAGGCAACCTGAAATCTAATGCAGAATATACTTTAAACCTACACTGAAGTTAAAAGGGCTGTAAAGAAAATTAACTACTTTTCATTGAGAGGAAAAACCGTGTACGAGAGAAGAAATTGTCTGTTTCTAGCTGGCTCTGCACTGTGAGTGTGAGTGTTTTTCACAAAACACCTGGTTTGTGCGGCTCTCCGGCTCTTTTACAAGCAGTGAGTCACAGAAGCGTGAAG